ATGAAATTATAATTAAAAGAATCCTTTACAAAAAAAATTCCTTTCTCGAAAAAATTAATTCCTTTTCCCTAAAAAAAAAGAAAAGTTAAAAAAAATACATCGAAATGAAAATCCTTTGACAATTTGATATTTAAAATCCAGAAAAAGATGTCATTTCATAGACATGATAATAATTTGTCTCTGAAAGAGTTGTAATATATGAGAAGATATAGCAAATGCACAAGACTGCTCGCAATACATTTTTTTTTTGTATAATAAAGCTTGAAGAAAATTGAAGAGGATAGAAAATGAAGACAGCTTGTAGAGGGAGGGGGGGCTGTATATCTGGAGAGGAGTAACCTCGAAATGTCACCTTCCACTGCCTCACGAAATTCTAGTCTCTATTCTAGTGAACTCATGGAATATCCTTGTCTCTCTATTCTCTCTCCAAAGAGAAAAAAAAGTGCAACAAAAAAAGTTATATATATATATATACAGAATCATGGACTACCGGTGTTGAAAAAAGTTCCAGATTTCTTTCATCTTGATGAGCAGTTCTTGTTTCTCAAAAAAAAAAATATAGAAATATATCTATATATATTTTTATAAGTACGAGAGAGATGAAAATGATTTTTCGATTTTTCCAACCATCAGCGCAGATGAGCTATATACAAACCAGTTAAATCTACCTACTTGGCAAAAAATGAAAGGCATTCTTATTTCCCCTTTTTCTGAAAACGATCAGAGCCGGAAGGTGTCTTGTACTTTGTTAAAAGAGAGAAAAGAGAGAAAATATACGATATAATATTCCGTTTGATAAAAAATTTGTCTTAAAAATTTTTCTATGATAAAAAGGAAAGGCATTAAAAAAAAAGAAAAAAAAAAATTTGAAAAGAAAGAAAATTAAAAATAGGCAATTAAAAATAGTCGAGTCATAAAATATGACTTGGAAAAAATTTTTTCTCATAATTAAGAAATTAATATTAGAAGCACTTTAATTTCAACGCTATCTTGTTCCAAATGATGAAATGAAGAAGAAGAAGAAGATTAAGAACTGAAGACTTTTAATTTTGAATCGTTCTAACTTTCCAGACATTGAGATTTGAAAGGGGGTACATTTTTTAGAGCCACCGAATATGTGAAAGGAAATTTCAAATGAATCTTACAGAGGGTTTGAATTAAAACTTTTCGTCTATTTAAAACGTTAAAAAATAAGAGAAAGCGAGGAAAGAGAGATTTTTGCTTTTACAAATTCGAAAAAAAAAAATTTCTTAGGAAACGATATTTTTTTCTCTTTTCTTGATCTTTGAATATGTAAAATTTCTTTTTACAGTTGATGAAAAAAGATAAAAATAAATAAACGAGAAAAAAGGAATATAAAAACGTAGATAATTTAGAACTCCATGAGAAATTCTTTTAAAAAATTATGAAAAATGAACAAAATAAATAAAGTGCATCTGTCAAAAGATTATTTAAAAACTAAAATTAATTAAACGTTCAAATCTGTAAATTTAGGAATAATTATCTAGTAAAACAATAAAAACAGAATTTTATTTAAAAAATTTTTCGAATGACTTTCAATAAACTTCCCAAGAATTTTCCTTGAATAGAAAACTTTTTTTGTAAAATAAAAGTGGAACTACTTTTCTACTGAAACAAATTGACAGTACTTTAGACATCTTGTCTAACTAAAACTGATGTTCTACTATTGGCACAGAAAATGCTTGAATTTTTACTCTCTTGTCTGATAGAAAATTGGTTCGTACTACTGAAACGCTTTTTACTAATAAAGACGAAAATCGGAGCATTTTAATCTTGTCTGACTATAAAAAATATTCACTACTGAATTCCATTTCTCTAGAGTTTTTTTTTTGTTTATCTGTTTGACTGAAACTACTCTTTTACTAATTCATTCGAAATAACACTAAGTTAAAATATCCAGGCTGACTGAAAATGTTTTTTTCTACTTAAATATAAATTCCTAGCAAATTAGAACTTCTAGTCTGACTTAAACAGATTAATACTACTGAAAATTGTAAGATTCTTTGAATGTTACATTTTTTACTGAAAGAAAGAAATTTTTTTTATTGATTGGTCTGACCAAAAAATGTTATACTACTGAAAATTAAAAAAGCAGTATTTCATTAATTATGGGACTAAATTATGGGACTAGAATTGACTTGTACTACTGAATTTACATTTTTTTAGAATTTTCTACTTTCTGTTTAACCGAAACGAGTGTATTTTTATTTTCAGTATTTAGTGCATTTAGTTTTCAGTATTTTAGACCTTCTGTCTGACTAAAACGCCTTATACTACTTAATATGAAAAAAACAACATTTAAACTCTTTTGTATGACTATAAAAAATTTTTACTACTGAATTAATCATATTTAGCTTTTTTCTGTTTATTAAAATTTACTTTTACTACTGAATTCATAGAAACGTTCTTTTTTTCTTTTACTATTTTATTCTAATTTATATTAAGTTAAAAAACAGTTGACTTGTACTACTGAATGAACTTTTTCTTTTTTTTTCTTTTTTTTCACATTCAAAAGTATTTATTCTAGAAGTTTTGTCTGATCGAAAATTTTTTTTACTACTAAAACTAGAAACACAAATAATTTGAGTATTTGAACTGATTAAAATTTACTTTTACTACTGAATTCATATTTTAAATGATATTTCACGTTCTGCATTATAAAAATTATAAAAAATGTATTATCTACTACTTTTAGTAAAAAGATAGTATTTTTAGTATTTTAAAAGTTTTGTCTGACTGTAGTGCTTCATTCTACTGAAGATTTAAAAGGCAACATTTAAACCTTCTTGTCTGAGTATAAATGGCTCTTACTACTGAATTTATCTCCTCTGGATTTTTCACCTTCTGTCCAATTGAAGTTGTAGTCAAAGTTTATAAAAATAAATAAAAATAATTTTAAGAAGATTAAAAGTTTTTATTTTTTTTTAAAGATTCCCAGGCACCAAAAAGTAGATTTCTCCGAAGACTCGGAGTTATTTATATCTTCATGTTTTATATTAATTTAAATTTCCATAAAATTTTTCAAAAAAAAAAAAAAAAATTAAATTATTTACAAAAATTTAAATAAAATCCTTCCCAAGAATTCAATTATTTAAAAAAATGTAATAAAATTCGTTCTAAAAATTTTATTATTTTCATAAATAATAAAATTTTTCATAGGATTTCAATTATTTTTAATACAATTTGAAACAAATTCCTCAAAAAATGTAATTATTTTCAAAAATTTTTTGCCAGAATTCAATTACATTTCATAAATAATAAAATTCTTCACAGGACTTCAATTATTTTTAAAAAATGTAATAAAAATTCTTTACAAAAATTCAATTATTTTTCTAAATAATAAAATTTTTCAAAGGATTTCAATTATTTTTAATAAATTCTTTGAAAAATGTAATTATTTTCAAAAATATTTAAAAGTTAATTATTTTTTAAAATTCATGCTACAATGCTTTTAAAATTCAATTATTATGTAAAATTTTACCTGAAATTTATTTTTAAATCAATCATTCTTGGAAAATTTTTCGAGAATTCAATTATTTAATTACAGAAATAAATAAATGTTTTTCAAAATTAAATCCGCATAAAGAATTTTATCAACAAATTTTTAAATAATTAAATTTTTTCGACGAATTTTTATAAAATTCTCAAGAATAATTACATTTTTCGAGGAATTCGATTAAAATTGTATTAAAAATAATTGAAATTCAATGATGAGTTTTATTATTAATGAAAATAATTGAATATCGATAAAAATTTTGATTATTTATGAAAATAATTTTATATTTGCTTTAAATTTTATCAACACTTTTGTTAAATAATTGAAATCTTTTAAAAAATTTTATTATAAAATAGTAGATATTAAAAATAATAGAATTAATTGAAATTTTTGAAAATAATTGAAATTTTGTCAAAGAATTTTATTCAAATTTTTGAAAATAATTGAATTTTGAAGAAGAATTTTATTATTTTTAAATTTAATTGAAATTTTGAAGTGCCATTTTTAAAAATTTTTGAGTATAATTCAATATCTACGAAGAATTTTATTACTTTTGAAAATAAATTGAATCTCTGCAATCATTTGAAACTTCTTCTAAATTCAATTCTTTACAGTACTTTAATAAAAATCCCTGGAAATGTTGAAATATTTTTAAAATAAAAAACTTGGAAAATTTACATGGAAACTCCACGCGGAAATTCCATGGAATTTTCAGGGGGTACTCCCATGGAATTTTTCGACGTGGGTTTTATGAATAAATAAATATCTCAATAAGAGAAACAGAAATAGAAAATAAATCAAATTAAATAAAAATAAATCAGAATAAATAAAAATAAATAAAAATAAATGAAAACACAAAATAAAAAACAGAATAAAAATAAATAAATCAAAATCAAAATAAAAAATTTTTAATAAAAACTTAAAAAGAATAAAAATAAACTAAAATACGAAAATAAAAATAAATAAAAATATGAAATAAAAAAACGAAAAAAAATTGTTTTCATTTATAGACTAAGATAAAAATATTAATTTGCTGCTATATTTTTAAATGATCTAAATAATTGTTTTAGAAGTAATAATATTTTAGGGGTTTCAATTTTCCCCAGTTATATGAATGCCAATGCATTGTATATGTAATACTTCAATGAACTAAATAATGTATATTTCGCGTGAGCTCACGTAGAGATATAGAGAGTGAGAGAGTTTTATGACCACTATTGAGCAGAATGACTGTTTCCACGCAATATGTGTTACATGACCACAATCCAATTGTTGAACTGATGGGATGTAATATATTTGCAATGTTACGTGAAAAGTCCTATTCTGATTTGATTCTCGCACCTTTCACTCTCGACTTTGACTCGTCAATTATTAATTCACACATTCACATTGTATACACTCATACACACACAAATGCATAGTGGAAGGAAAAAAACCAAATGAACAGAATTTTTCTTTCTGATTCTATAAAAAATTTACTCACCAATTTTAGCCACGCATTTGTCGTTAAAATTTGATTCTTTTCATCCTAAAAACAAATAAACAAATACACATGTAAATATAATAATGGAATATTTTTAAAATTCAAAAATAATAAATATTTTCAATATTAGAAATAGGTGACAATTTTTCAAGGAATAAAACGGAAAAAACAATTTAATTTTACAATAACATTGTTATCCATATTTTAAAAACGATCAAAAAGTACTTTTTACATTTTTATATTGTAAATGAAAAAATAAAAAAAATAAAAAAAAATAAAAAATAAATATAAGAATAAATAATTAAAAAAAGGTTCATTTATATTTTAAAAATAGTTATAAACAAAGTTTAAAAAGTGGTCCAACTTAAGGACGCTTATTCTTTCAAATACATTATAATATTCGTAAGTTTCCTTTCCGTTAGCAAATTATCTGCATTCATTTGTTTGTTTTGAAAATTTAATTTTGTGGGTTAAGTATTGGCATTTTTTATATATTTTTTAATGTCAAACTTTTTAATGTGGAAAATAATTTACTTATTAAATTGTCTCGACTCTTTGGTAAAAAATCTAAAATTATCAAAAATTCGAAAAAATTCAAAAATTCGATTTTCTTAAAATTCAACATTTTTTCATCTCTTTTATGGGATTAAGCTTCATTATTTTTGTGCTTTTGGAAAATACTTTACTTATTTAATAGTCTCGACTCTTTGGCAAAAAATCTAAAATTAATGAAAATTATCAAAAATTCAAAAATCCGAATTTCTTAAAATTCAACATTTTTTCCTCTCTTTTATGGGATTTAGCTTTATTATTTTTGTGCTTCTGAAAAAAACTTTACTTATTAAATTGTCTCGACTCTTTGGCAAAAAATCTAAAATTAATGAAAATTATCAAAAATTCAAAAATCCGAATTTCTTAAAATTCAACATTCTTTCCTCTCTTTTATAGGATTTAGCTTCATTATTTTTGTGCTTTTGGAAAATACTTTACTTAATTAATTGTCTTGACTCTTTGGTAAAAAATGTTAAATTATCGAAAATTATCAAAAATTCAAAAATCCGAATTTCTTAAAATTCAACATTCTTTCCTCTCTTTTATAGGATTTAGCTTCATTATTTTTGTGCTTTAGGAAAATACTTTACTTATTAAATTGTCTCGACTCTTTGGTAAAAAATCTAAAATTATCAAAAATTCGAAAAAATTCAAAAATTCGATTTTCTTAAAATTCAACATTTTTTCTTCTCTTTTATGGGATTAGGCTTCATTAGTTTTGTGCTTTTGGAAAATACCTTACTTATTTAATAATCTCGACTCTTTGGTAAAAAATCTAAAATTATCAAAAATTCGAAAAAATTCAAAAATCCGATTTTCTTAAAATTCAACATTTTTTCCTCTCTTTTATAGGATTTAGCTTTATTATTTTTGTGCTTTTGGAAAATACTTTACTTATTAAATTGTCTCGACTCTTTGGCAAAAAATCTAAAATTAATGAAAATTATCAAAAATTCAAAAATCCGAATTTCTTAAAATTCAACATTCTTTCCTCTCTTTTATAGGATTTAGCTTCATTATTTTTGTGCTTTTGGAAAATACTTTACTTATTTAATAATCTCGACTCTTTGGTAAAAAATCTAAAATTATCAAAAATTATCAAAAATTCAAAAATCCGAATTTCTTAAAATTCAACATTCTTTCCTCTCTTTTATAGGATTTAGCTTCATTATTTTTGTGCTTTTGGAAAATACTTTACTTAATTAATTGTCTTGACTCTTTGGTAAAAAATGTGAAATTATCGAAAATTATCAAAAATTCAAAAATCCGAATTTCTTAAAATTCAACATTCTTTCCTCTCTTTTATAGGATTTAGCTTCATTATTTTTGTGCTTTTGGAAAATACTTTACTTAATTAATTGTCTTGACTCTTTGGTAAAAAATCTAAAATTAATGAAAATTATCAAAAATTCAAAAATCCGAATTTCTTAAAATTCAACATTCTTTCCTCTCTTTTATAGGATTTAGCTTCATTATTTTTGTGCTTTAGGAAAATACTTTACTTATTAAATTGTCTCGACTCTTTGGTAAAAAATCTAAAATTATCAAAAATTCGAAAAAATTCAAAAATTCGATTTTCTTAAAATTCAACATTTTTTCTTCTCTTTTATGGGATTAAGCTTCATTATTTTTGTGCTTTTGGAAAATACTTTACTTATTTAATAGTCTCGACTCTTTGGCAAAAAATCTAAAATTAATGAAAATTATCAAAAATTCAAAAATCCGAATTTCTTAAAATTCAACCTTTTTTCCTCTCTTTTATGGGATTTAGCTTTATTATTTTTGTGCTTTTGGAAAATACTTTATTTATCAAATTGTCTCGACTCTTTGGCAAAAAATCTAAAATTAATGAAAATTATCAAAATTTCAAAAATCCGAATTTCTTAAAATTCAACATTCTTTCCTCTCTTTTATAGGATTTAGCCTTATTATTTTTGTGCTTTAGGAAAATACTTTACTTATTAAATTGTCTAGACTCTTTGGTAAAAAATCTAAAATTATCAAAAATTCGAAAAAATTCAAAAATTCGATTTTCTTAAAATTCAACATTTTTTCTTCTCTTTTATGGGATTAAGCTTTATTATTTTTGTGCTTTTGGAAAATACTTTACTTAATTAATTGTCTTGACTCTCTGGTAAAAAATGTGAAATTATCGAAAATTATCAAAAATTCAAAAATCCGAATTTCTTAAAATTCAACATTTTTTCCTCTCTTTTATGGGATTTAGCTTTATTATTTTTGTGCTTTTGGAAAATACCTCACTTATTAAATTGTCTCGAATCTTTGGCAAAAAATCTAAAATTAATGAAAATTATGAAAAATTCAAAAATCCGAATTACTTAAAATTCAACATTCTTTCCTCTCTTTTATAGGATTTAGCTTCATTATTTTTGTGCTTTAGGAAAATACTTTACTTATTAAATTGTCTCGATTCTTTGGTAAAAAATCTAAAATTATCAAAAATTCGAAAAAATTCAAAAATTCGATTTTCTTAAAATTCAACATTTTTTCTTCTCTTTTATGGGATTAAGCTTCATTATTTTTGTGCTTTTGGAAAATACTTTACTTATTTAATAGTCTCGACTCTTTGGCAAAAAATCTAAAATTAATGAAAATTATCAAAAATTCAAAAATCCGAATTTCTTAAAATTCAACCTTTTTTCCTCTCTTTTATGGGATTTAGCTTTATTATTTTTGTGCTTTTGGAAAATACTTTATTTATCAAATTGTCTCGACTCTTTGGCAAAAAATCTAAAATTAATGAAAATTATCAAAATTTCAAAAATCCGAATTTCTTAAAATTCAACATTCTTTCCTCTCTTTTATAGGATTTAGCCTTATTATTTTTGTGCTTTAGGAAAATACTTTACTTATTAAATTGTCTAGACTCTTTGGTAAAAAATCTAAAATTATCAAAAATTCGAAAAAATTCAAAAATTCGATTTTCTTAAAATTCAACATTTTTTCTTCTCTTTTATGGGATTAAGCTTTATTATTTTTGTGCTTTTGGAAAATACTTTACTTAATTAATTGTCTTGACTCTCTGGTAAAAAATGTGAAATTATCGAAAATTATCAAAAATTCAAAAATCCGAATTTCTTAAAATTCAACATTTTTTCCTCTCTTTTATGGGATTTAGCTTTATTATTTTTGTGCTTTTGGAAAATACCTCACTTATTAAATTGTCTCGAATCTTTGGCAAAAAATCTAAAATTAATGAAAATTATGAAAAATTCAAAAATCCGAATTACTTAAAATTCAACATTCTTTCCTCTCTTTTATAGGATTTAGCTTCATTATTTTTGTGCTTTAGGAAAATACTTTACTTATTAAATTGTCTCGATTCTTTGGTAAAAAATCTAAAATTATCAAAAATTCGAAAAAATTCAAAAATTCGATTTTCTTAAAATTCAACATTTTTTCTTCTCTTTTATGGGATTAAGCTTCATTATTTTTGTGCTTTTGGAAAATACTTTACTGATTTAATAGTCTCGACTCTTTGGCAAAAAATCTAAAATTAATGAAAATTATCAAAAATTCAAAAATCCGAATTTCTTAAAATTCAACATTTTTTCCTCTCTTTTATGGGATTTAGCTTTATTATTTTTGTGCTTTTGGAAAATACTTTATTTATCAAATTGTCTCGACTCTTTGGCAAAAAATCTAAAATTAATGAAAATTATCAAAATTTCAAAAATCCGAATTTCTTAAAATTCAACATTCTTTCCTCTCTTTTATAGGATTTAGCCTTATTATTTTTGTGCTTTAGGAAAATACTTTACTTATTAAATTGTCTCGACTCTTTGGTAAAAAATCTAAAATTATCAAAAATTCGAAAAAATTCAAAAATTCGATTTTCTTAAAATTCAACATTTTTTCATCTCTTTTATGGGATTTAGCTTTATTATTTTTGTGCTTAAGGAAAATACTTTACTTATTAAATTGTCTCGACTCTTTGGCAAAAAATCTAAAATTAATGAAAATTTTAAAAAATTCAAAAATCCGAATTTCTTAAAATTCAACATTCTTTCCTCTCTTTTATAGGATTTAGCTTTATTATTTTTGTGCTTTAGGAAAATACTTTACTTATTTAATAGTCTTGACTCTTTGGTAAAAAATCTAAAATTATCAAAAATTCGAAAAAATTCAAAAATCCGATTTTCTTAAAATTCAACATTTTTTCCTCTCTTTTATGGGATTTAGCTTTATTATTTTTGTGCTTTTGGAAAATACTTTACTTATTAAATTGTCTCGACTCTTTGGCAAAAATTCTAAAATTAATGAAAATTATCAAAAATTCAAAAATCCGAATTTCTTAAAATTCAACATTCTTTCCTCTCTTTTATAGGATTTAGCTTCATTATTTTTGTGCTTTAAGAAAATACTTTACTTATTAAATTGTCTCGACTCTTTGGTAAAAAATCTAAAATTATCAAAAATTCGAAAAAATTCAAAAATTCGATTTTCTTAAAATTCAACATTTTTTCTTCTCTTTTATGGGATAAAGCTTCATTATTTTTGTGCTTTTGGAAAATACTTTACTTATTTAATAGTCTCGAATCTTTGGTAAAAAATCTAAAATTATCAAAAATTCAAAAATCCGAATTTCTTAAAATTTAACATTCTTTCCTCTCTTTTATGGGATTTAGCTTTATTATTTTTGTGCTTTTGGAAAATACCTCACTTATTAAATTGTCTCGACTCTTTGGCAAAAAATCTAAAATTAATGAAAATTATCAAAAATTCAAAAATCCGAATTTCTTAAAATTCAACATTCTTTCCTCTCTTTTATAGGATTTAGCTTTATTATTTTTGTGCTTTAGGAAAATACTTTACTTATTAAATTGTCTCGACTCTTTGCTAAAAAATCTAAAATTATCAAAAATTCGAAAAAATTCAAAAATTCGATTTTCTTAAATTACAACATTTTTTCTTCTTTTTTATGCGATTTAGCTTTATTATTTTTGTGCTTTTGGAAAATACTTTACTTATTTAATAGTCTCGACTCTTTGGTAAAAAATCTAAAATTATCGAAAATTATCAAAAATTCAAAAATCCAAATTTCTTAAAATTTAACATTTTTTCTTCTCTTTTATGGGATTTAGCTTCATTATTTTTGTGCTTTTGGAAAATACTTTACTTATTAAATTGTCTCGACTCTTTGGTAAAAAATCAAAAATTATTAAAAATGATCAAAAATCCGAAAAATCGAATTGCTTAAAATTCAACATTTTTTTTTTGTCTTTAATGCCATTTAGCTTTATTATTATTTGAATTTTTATTCAAGAGAAAAAATGGTAAACTGAAAAAATTTAGAAACTTTTAAAAATTCCAGGCCTTTTCCATGATTTCCCTGATTTCCAGAAGCCTTTTAAAAATTCCATACCATTTTCATGATTTTCCAGATTCTGTAGGAACCCTGCTTTTGTCTGACTTTCTTCTAAATAATCGAATTCAGTGATTTCTGTGGTGAATTTGGTTAAGTTGTAAAATGATTAATTTCTATTTGAATTCGTTTTTTTTGAATGTAGAAAATCTGATGTTAATTTAATTCTTTTTTCCTTATGCACGGCAAAAAATATTTAGCTGGATGAACTACAGATTTCACTTTAGTAGCGAAATTTTTCAGTGCTTCAATTAATACTTTCGTTATTCTAGAGAAACTTATCGCTATTTCAAGTAAAACTTTTTTCATTGTGTAATAATTATTATTTCTTTGAAAAGTATTTATTTTTAAATGGCTTTATAAAATAAGCAATGCAAAAGATGACCCAGATACTAGTTGTAATTGTTCTAGCCATAGTTTAAGTCTAGTAATGTAAATTCTATTTAAATTGAGACCATTTAGTGAAATTATTTAAATTTTAGTTAGTTAAATCTCTTTGTTAGGTTATAATAATTATTTCTTAAAAATATTTTAAATTGTTTAAAATAAGCAGCCCCATACAACATTCCCGCGCGCTTGCGCGCGGATAGTTTGGCTAGTATAAAAATAATTTGTAACCTTCAATTTTATAGTAAAATAATTCAATTATTTTGATAGGTAGGAAAATAATTTTAATCTTTAATTTTTAGATTAAACTTAAAGTAACTCAATTATATTGTGGAAAAATATTTTCAAGATTTAAAAGAATAAAATAAGTAAATAGACATCGAATAATTTTATTAACTCACCACATCAATGATTTGCTGCAACGTGATGCCAAATTTTACTTCAAGAGGTTCACTTTCGTTAGCCACCGGTCTCTCTAGGGTGTTATAATTCGCCAGAAGATGATTCAGCAAAGTTCTCTCGTATTTTCCGCCAAGACTTTCTGTAATAATAAAGCAAAAAAAAAATATGTTAATAATAATAAACCAAAAATATTTTAGATAACATTTTGATTTATTTATTAAAAAAAATTTATTAAATGAAAATAAATTAAATATTTCTTAAAATTGAAGTCTCATAAAAAATTTGATCAAAACATTTTTAAATAATTGATTTCTTTTGACGATTTTTAATAAAATTGTTAAGAACAATTACATTTTTCGAGGAATTCGATTAAAATTATATTAAAAATAATTTAAATTCTGCGATGAGATTTATTTATGAAAATAATTGAATTCCTGAAAAGAATTTTATTATTTACAAAAATAATTCAATCCCTGTAAAAAATGTTATTATTTATTAAAAAGAATTAAATTATTGCGAAGAAATTTATAAAAAATTTGTAAATAATAGAATTTATATAAAATTGAGAAAAATTTTTGAAAATAATTAAAATTTTACAAAAAATTTTATTAAAAATTTTTTAAAAATTAAATTTTGTAAAACATTTTATTAAAAATTTAAAAAACAATTGAAATTTGAAGAAGAATTTGATTACTTTCGAAAATAATTGAATTTATGCAATCATTTATAATTTTTCCAAAATAAAATAAAATTTTTGTGTTTTTGAATAAAATTCGTCTATAAATCCAGTATTTTTAATAAATAATTAATTAAATTTTTACTAAGAAATTTAACAAATTTCAGAAGAATTATTAAAATTTTCATAAATAATTGCAAAAAAAAATTAATAAATTTAATAAATTTTGTCTAAATTTAACATTTAGAAACTATGATTTATTTTCTTTACATTTGACAAAAAAATGTGATATTTTTATTTTTTTATAAATTTTTTTTTGTTAATTTCGTTTATTTAAAAGTTTAGAACTTTAGGAGCATTTACAAAAAAATAAACAGATTGCAGAGAGATATTCGCAAAAATATATTTTTATAAACATTTTTTTATAGTTTAATAGATGTGGAGTACATTTCCGGAATAAAATGCAAATCAATTTTTTTTCTATCTTTTTTTGTGTGTCGAAAAGGGGGGGGGGGGGATTTCCAAATATTTTCCCTCAAGGATAAGTTGAAAAATTTATCCATTATTCATAAAGTATTTATGTGTTTACGAAAGTGTTAAAGTAAAGCAACCCACAAACGTGAGGTGAATTTGCTGAATCATCAGAATAGTTTAAATTGCTGTTGCATATAACATGTATATTGCTTAAAGTCATTTTAACATTTACTTGAGTTTATAACACATATATATCATGTATAAAGTGCATTTCATAACAAAATCAGTATAATAATAATTTACAAATACAAAACAAAAAAGCCTCCTTTTAAAACAAAATAATCTCTTTTAATTTATAGCATTTTTAATTAAAAAGACAAATTAAATTTAAAAAAATGTAAAATCCAACGTAAAAACTATACCGTGAAAGTTAAAATTTAAAATTTAATTCTTCAGCAAAATTTATTAATTGAAATATATTCTATACGTCGAAATTCAATTAAAATAGTTTTTTAACTTCTGGAAATATGCACGTGCACATTATATATATTCACAGAAAAAATTCGCAGTATTATTAAAATATTAATCTCACAACACGTAATACGAAACTTTTTTCTGAAGATGAGTTTCTCAATTTAATTTCTTCCAACAAGATTTCACATCTTCGACTAACCGTAAAATTAAAAACTTTTTTCCGTAATAACTTTTGAAGTGGAATACACTGAAAAGAAAGTTGCTTTGAGGGAAGAAAAAAAAAATTTCTTAAATCACGGAAAAGGGAAATGATTTTATTAAAATCAAATAAATTACTTTGACTTGTAATCATCCTCAGAAAAAAAAATTTTTTTATATCCTATAAAAGTAGAAATTCTCCAACCGAGAGCTAAAAATTATTATGATAATTTTGCAGAAATTTCATAACTTAAATTTTTTTTAATATTTAATTTCTTTAGGGAAAATAAATATAATTATAATAATTATTCATGATTGGAATTAATTTAGAATTTTGTGCCACTGGAATATTTCAATGACGCCTCCGACAGAGGGCGAAGAAAAATCCGAAATTAATTATATTTTAATTATATAACCAAATACTTAAGAAAAAAATTTTAAAAAAAAAATTTTTTTTTCAAAGTTGATAAGGACAAGCAACGATATTAGTGATAATTATTTTAACAAATTTAAATTTAGAGATTGTAATAATTATATTATCATTTACATAATTTGTTTTAGAGAGAAAGAAAAATAAAGACGTTAGTTAAAAGTTTGATATTAAGTCTATAGAATGGATGTCATTGCCATTTATCTCAATTTCCTAGCCTTCAAGTCTTATACCCTCAAATCCATTCGACCTGACAACTAACGCCATTCGCTTGTGACACTCCATTCGCATTTTCCTTCAAGAAATGCAGTTAGGTGAAAGGAATTCGCCATCATAGTGGAAGACGCATCTTCCACCCTTGTGAAACGAACGTTTTCATCTTCATTAGCTTAGAAGGTGCAGAAATTAAAAAAAAAAAAAAAAACCTCTTACGACGTATCACGTAATTTTAGCCAATATTAAAACTGTAATTATGAAAAATTCCCAAGTCACGTTATTCTATTAATAAAAATAAAAAAAATTTTCTTTGGAAAATATTACTGTGATTAAAGAAATCGAAACTTAATTCTTGACAAGTTGTATTTTTTTATGTTGCCCTTTCTTTTCTCTTTATTTTCTACTTTTATTCTTTTTTGGTTCAGTTAAATTTGAATTTCGCGCCATTGTAATAGTTCAGTGACGCCTCCGACAGATGGCGAGAAAAATCCTTTCTCTTGCAACTATTTTTCTTCGCCATCTGTCGGAAGCGTCACTGAACTATTACAATGGCGCGAAATTCAAATCAGTTCGAGTCAAACCAGTCGCGACTGGTATTTTTTCCTTTATTAAGTAAATGCATAGCAACTACGAAAAAAATAATTAAATTAATGACTAAAAAAAATAAATGAGTTGCAAGTAAGATGCATTTTGTGATCACCAACTGTCGTGAATGAAAAGGCGAGTGTTATTTTCGCAGTCAAGTTGACTCTGCGCAGTTTTACGGTGACCGTCACCGCACGTTTAGTCCCGGCCGACATGAATGGCAAAGTTTACAAATACGAGAGCTCATGAAGAGCCTGTGTGTGAGTGTGGTACATATTCATTGCAATCGCAAACACATCCACATATTTCACATAGGTCGTTTTTACAACGGCGCAAGCGCTTCCATAAGGGATGATAGGTGGGTAAATAGAAAGCTCGAACAAACCAAATCTTCTGAGAGGGAGAAACAAAGAGATGATGGCAAGAAATGGTTGAAATAGAAAGAGAAGAAAAAAACGAAAGAGAGAGAGAGAGAGTGAACTCCATCCGTATACCGAGAAAAAACTGGTTTATCCATTCGAAACGATTTTTTTTCCTTCAGAGAAACGAATTGCAACAAAGAGCGAGAAAGAGAGAAGTATCACAAAAAAAAACTGAAAAGCATTCCGGGAGAGGCTGAAATACATTCAATGGAGTTCAAATTCAAATACCGCTTAGAAAGGGTCAATAGCGAAGTGCATATATGGAATTTTTTGGCAATTTTATTATGTTCCTGCGTCGGAAAAAGTGATGCTATCCCAAAAAATATTTTTAGTACTTCCTGCTTCCGTGTGGAATTTTTAAATCCTGGCTCTGCTCGGAACCAGAATTTTAGTTCCATCAAAATTTGTTTTTTATGTTATGTTAAATTTTTCACTAATAATTTTAGTTCCATTTTACAGCAAAATCGAAAAGAGAAAAAAATAGCTGTTTTTCAGTAAAAAATAATATTGCAATAACACTTAACTACCAACTTATTTAAATAACTAACTACAAATTTAAAAACTAATTCAAAACTGACTGAAAACAAATAATAAAAATGGTACTAAAATAAAATAATAAAAAAATATAATACATAAAAATTAAATAAAGAAAATGATAACGAAATAATATTTATTATATAAATAATTATTAATAGTGAATTGTAGTAATTCAGTGACGCCTCCGACAGATGTCAGGCAAAATTGGTGCTGATTAACGAAGAGAAAAAAAAAGAAAAAATAATTTAATTCCATCTTTAACTAATTTACTAAAGTAATTTACCAAACAGAATTTTCAAAAATAAGAAAATTGAAAAGTATTTCGTGTTTCTTCGCCAGGAACGAAGGAGTAATTGTACAACAATTGCAAACAATTTAAAAGACTTTAGCTCTCCCTAAAGTCTACTATTATTTTTTTTCTGTTTTCTTTTCTGTTATCTTCTTTTTTCAACAGTATGTGAACTTTGGTTGTTCCCATTTTTTTTTCACTTTAATCGCGAGAGTTAAACTAAATTCGTTGAAAATTGAGATCAAAATGAGCTTTATGACTACGTTGGAAAATAGAAAGATATATTCCTTTTAAAGATAAGAGCTATTTCTTATATACTTTTCCTGAAACTCGAGATGAAATGAATGTAATTTACACTTATTGTTACTGCTTTTACTGGAGAGAAACACTTTTGCTCTTCGTAATTGCTTACTACATAATTCAAAAACATTCATAGCTTTGAAAACTGAACTTAAATTACACGAGAACAACGAAAGTTAAAAATGTCTCTTACACATATTTATTTACTTTGAAACTACTATTTTTTTTTAATCATTATTGTCTATTTCTAAAAACTTTTAAATTATAATTTTTTTCAAGAAAATGTTTTTTAAAAAAATATTTCCACAATTCAATGTTATGTCTGAATATTTAAAAATAAAAATATTAATGAAACTAATAAAAATATTAATAAAAATAATAATTATTATTCGAATTAAGTAAAAACTAAATTTACTTCAAAATTTATTTTATCATTTTTTAAATTATTTTATTATTAATATTATTAATAGCAACAATTACAATTGTTTTATTATAATTTAAAAAGTTAACGAAAAAATATTTCTAGTTCAAAAAGTTT